CCCTAACCCCTAAACCCCTGACCCCTAAACCCCTAAACCCCTAACCCCTAAACCCCTAAACCCCTAAACCTTAAACCCCCAAACCCCTAAACCTTAAACCCCTAAAACCCCTAAAACCCCTAAACCCCTAAACCCCTAAACTGTACTTTGATGTAACCCCGAATCGTGGTCTAACTCCTAAGGCCCCGGTAGCAGGGTGGCGCTACCTGGCGGTTTTTGTGAATTCATCCTGGAAGGGCGATAAGTATCTACATGGGTAGTTTTCTAAATTGGGGTCCCCTTTTAGGGTCCTTTTTTATAAGGGTGCCGTACTATATTGGGACCCAAAAAGGGACCCCCAAACCCCCCGAAAACTAGGTAAAATAATGGCCCAAGACCCTTAAAAGGCTATTTTTCTACATACTTTTGGGGCTTAGGTAAGTATCTACATGATATAGTAGGGTTCTCGTAGAGAAGATCGATTTTCCTTTGGCCTCTGATCCGGAAATATCTCATCCGTTGTGGACGCGAAGGAGATTAATTGAGGAATGCCCTCAATTTCTCAGGCTTCCAAATCCCTTATACCCTAAACCCTAATCCCTGAACCCCTGAAGCCTAAACCCTACACCCTAAACCCCCAAACCCTAAAGCCTAAACCCCTAAACCCCTTTGCATAAACCCCTAAACACCCTAAACCCCCAAACCGAGACAGTCCAAGGTGGGTGCCCGCACCATGAGCTACAGCTTTGGTCAGGCAGAGGTTAGCGATCTCGAGGAGGAGATCCCGGCTTCAGGGTGTTAAGGGTTTTTAGGGGCTTTAGGGTTTACAAAGACAAAGTTGCCCAGCCTTGGGCATCTGAGCGGCCCTTTCCCCAAGCCGAAAGTTCCTCTGCGGGTGACGTTCCTGGCGAGAGAGCGGAGTCTGCTATTGACACTCCTCTCTCTTTCGTAAAAGAGGATCCTGTAAAGAGAGATATCCTTCATATGCACACATCTCATCATCGATGAGAAGCCTTGGCCATTCGGCTTCAGCAACACTTATGAGATGCTTTCGCTCGCTCAGCGTGTCACTGCTTCAAGTCCTTGAAGACGCGAACTTCCTTGCTGCCTTCGTAGTACGTAGCTGGGACCTTGTAGCCAGAGGCCACGAGGTACTTCTGCAAGTCTTTCACTTTAGCGGAGTTGCCAGTGAAGGAGAGGATGAAGACATTGAGGTAGCTGTGAATCTCACGGTCGGACTTGGAAAGCTCCACGAGCTCGGTGTAGCTGAGCTTAAGACTGACCACCTTCGGCAGCGTACACAGCGTCTGACCCCACTGAGCCAAGCTGGTGACCCCCTCTGGGAACTGCGTCGGGTAAGGGGCGGACGTAGGAGCCACAGGAGCTTGGGAGCAGTGGAAGTCTGCAAGCTCGAAGTCGCTGAAGTCAGAGTCGTCAAGGCGGCGCTTTGACGCGTCGGTCATGGCCTGTGGATGGTCAAGGGTGCCAAAAGCCTCTTCGAGCACGTTCAAGACTTCGTCCGTGCGCCCTTCTGCTTGCAAACGGCCCATCAGGCGCTCGAGGCTCACAGAGGTAGTAGACGAAGTGGCGTCACGGACTCGCTGCTTGGGTGCCATGGTCTCACCAAGGCACGCGAGGCAGAGGTTACTTACTAACTGAAACAGAAAACTCTTGCTGAAAGGCACAATATGGCGGCAACGGACTGCTTAAAGCAAGTGGCGGCCGAGCATTAACTGGTCACGGGCGCTTACCGCAACTCTGCTGCAACACCTTCTGTGAAGTCCCTCTCCACAGAAGCACTGCAAAACAATAACCCTGTGTAGTAGTCCGGAGACTGACTAAACCCTATCACCCTTAGGGAACCTTTCATACCAAATTTCTGTCCTAAGCAGAGCCATGGGACGAGGCAGAGGCTGCTTTTCGCACAAGAGGGTCTCCTGCAGATCCTCACTGGCAAGGATGCGGCCACTGTGCCCGTCGAAAGACGTTCGGCGAACGGCTCTGCCTTGAACAACTTTGTCATCTTCTGGCGGGTGGAAAAAGGTTGCTTGGTGATCTACATACACTTTGCGGAACACAGCTTGTGAAGGCTTTGAGTCGTCTACTGCGTCTCCCAACTGCTGTCGTCGTGCGCGGCGGTCTCTTTGAGCTTTCTTTTGGGCGAGTACGTCTGCTTCATCCGAGAGTTGATACACCCCGTTAGCCAAGATGGCCCTCATCAAATCTGCGGGATCTGATTGGTTTTTAGTGAGCCCATCTGCTAACATTAACTGGGTGGGACACCATCGCACTTGGAGACCGCATCTGGACATGGATTGACGAATGATGCTGAGGTCGATAGCGACACGTTTGTCGTCGACCTTGCTTGGTGATGTCGGTGTGCTCAGGGCGTCGAACAAGGATTTGCAATCCGTGACACCGGTAGTTGGTACACATTTGAGGTGATCTTGGCATTCCCTAAGATCAAAACACCCTTTCTTTGCTTCCGACACCATCAAGCTCATCCATTCGGAAATGCCGCTAGCTGTAGCAAAACTCTGGGTTTCGCCTGCCAGGGTGGACGCGACGACGCGTGA